CCAGGGGAGGTTGGTTTGGGCTCTGAGCACCCTGCTCTAGCTGCAGATGTCCCTGCTCCCTGCAGGGGGTGGGACTGGGTGACCTTAAAAGGTCCCTTTCCAACCCAAACCAGGCTGTGATCCCATGAGGATTCTCTCTGGGAGGACCTTGTCCTCTGGGAGGAGGGGGAGGTCGGTCTCTCCACGGGCAGGAGCAGGCTGCTCATCCTTTGGGACTCCCACGTCTGTGAGTTGGTGCTTTTGTTTTGCACTCCAGAGTCTGGTTCAACGCTTCAGCCAGACGTTGCTGCTCGATACAGCTGGTGCTGTTCTGGCCACTGCCACCAACTGGGATGAAATTGAAATCCAGGAGGAGACAGAGTCTGGGAGCAGCGTGACATCGAAGATCCGGCTGCCCGTGCAGGTATGAGAAACATCCTCTCAGCTATCCCAGAGAAAGGGTGGCAGGAGAAGGAGCTGGTTTCCAAAGCTGCTGCTTTTTCAGGGGTGCTGACCTGCTTTGGAGTTCCTGGTGGTATGAGCTGAGGGCAAACACTCACAGAATCCCAGCAGGGTGGTGAGAAGGGACCTCTGGAGATCATCTCCTCCAACCCCCCTGCTCCAGCAGCTCACCCACAGCAGGGTGCCCAGGGGCACATCCAGGGGGGTTTGAGATCTCTGCAGAGCAGGAGACTCCACAGCCTCTCTGGGCAGCTGCTCCAGGCTCTGCCACCCTCACACCAAAGAAGTTTCTCCACATAGAAAGCACTCTCCCCTGCTTGTTTGTGCTCTGAGCTACTTGCCTTCTAAGAGAGGTCAGAGGAAGGACATTAGATGGTTGTTGCTGTGTATTCCAATCAATAAGATTAGCTCAGATCCTCTATAAACCAAGCCAGAGAAGGACTTAGGCCTTTTTTATACACAGAGCCCCCTGGGAGAGAGATCTCCTAGGAATTGGTTGCACTGGAGGAGGGTGGGACTGTGCAGAGCCTCAGAGAACTGAGCCCTGGGACTGCCCGTGGGCGTGGTGGTGGCAATCGCAGGGCAGGAGGGGAGGGGGAGCCAGGCCCAGAGGGAGATCTGTGTTTGCACAGGGTGGGAGGGTTGGACAGGGTGATAAGCTCCTGTGGTGAACCTTTATCAAGTGAGTTTTGTTGACTCTGAAGGCAAAGGGAGTCATGTGAGAGCTCAGGAGAGCTGGGGGGGGGCCAGCAGAAGAGCGAGGGAGAAATAAGTGGTCAAAGCAGGATCAGGGGTGGCAGAAGAGGCACCACAGGAGTGTAGTTCTGACTACACTCAGGTGAAGCCTTGTGGTAAAAGTGCTCAGGGGACTCTGAGGGCTGCTGAAACCAAAATTCAGTTGTGTCAGTAAATAAATAACCTGTGAGATAGCTGAGCCCAGGCTGTGGGGGGGCAGGTTGGGCTCTGCAGCAGAGTTTTGTGGTTGCTGAGGAAGTTGGAAGCTCACACCACGAGAACTGAAGGGATGTTGTGCCCCTGATAAAGCTCAGCGTGGCTCACAGGCCACAAAAACCAACCCTGTTCTCTTCCACAGCCATCCTGGCACGTCCAGGGCCTCCTCTTCAGCCTGTGCCAAGAGGTGAACAGGGTCGGTGGTCACACCCTTCCCAAAGTCACCTTGCAGGAGCTGCTGAGGACCTGCCTGGCAGAAGTGCTCACTGCCTATGAGAAGCTGGTGGAGGAGAAGCAGGAGAAGGTGTGTGAACAGGATCAGCCCTGGCTCCAGCTGCTGTGGGATGGGAGGGTCTCAGGGCACACGGTGATGCTGTCCCCTGGAACACAAAATTTCTGCCCTGAGAGAGCTGGAAACTCCCAGACATGAGGCAGAAGATTTGGCAGCAGGCTGCATGCTCAGAGCAGCTCAGTCAGGGTGGGTGTTTCTTGGTGCTGGTGTTTTTAGACATTTCCCCTCTTCCTGACTGTCCTGTTTGCAGAAAGCAGGCAGCTTCCCCATGACCCAGAACAGAGCTCTGCAGTTACTCTACGATCTGAGGTACCTGAGCATCATCCTGACAGCAAAGAACGAGGAGGCAAAAGCCAGCAGGATCAAGCATGACTCCAGGTGCTGTGCAGTTCTGGGGTTCAGATACCAGCAGTGCTTTGGGGGGGGCCCTGGAATGGTTTAAGCCAAGAGACTTCCTGGCTGTGGGAGCTGTGGTGCCTCTGGGCCTCAGGGGAGAGGGGCAGCGTGGGCTCTAAGTGCTGTGATATCTCCACTGAGACTAAGCTCACACTCAAAACATCCAAGGAGGGGTGGGATTTTGTGGCTGAGAGCTCGGAGGCAGCGAGGAATAGCTGGAAACCCTTCAGGCAGCTGCTGTTCTGCTCAGTCACCTCTCAGGGGTTGTTTCAGAGGGGCCAGTGAAAGCACTAGGATGAAAGGGTAGGATGTAACCCCTGACAGGCCTCTGCTGCTCTGCTTTAGGCTGGAGAAGGTGACTGATTTCCTGGAGGGCCACATCGACCCCTTTGACTTGGATGTTTTCACCCCACACTTGAACAGCCACCTGAATCGCCTGGTTCAGCGAACCTCTGTAAGGGGAAAGGGGAGGGATGGGGCAGGAAAACCCTTTTGGCAGGGCAGCTAAGGGGGTTTTATAGACTGCTCAGTGCCTAAAGATAACTCCTGGCACTTCCCTGGCAACGGGAAGAGTATTTCATGCCAGCTGAAGATAAGAGGAGCTGGCTGAGCCGGCTGCCCGGCGCATCATCGTGCGTGGAGCTGGCTGAACTTTATTTAACAGGATTCACCAGCTCCTGTGCAGCTCTAATTGGGGTAAGTGGTGCTGAAACAAACCTAGGACTCCACCACGGTACTAACGAGCAGCGCCAATTAAACCCCAGAGTTAGAGGGGGGGAAGGGAGACACCTCAGAGTTCAACCCAAGCCCAGGCGTCGCGCCAGCAGACTCACCAGCGATGCGTGGGCAGCTCTGCAGCTGCCCCCAGGCACGAGCAGCTCCTTCCTTGGTGCCTTTCCAGGTTCTCTTCGGCTTGCTGACGGGCACAGAGAACCAGTACACGAGCAGGAGCGGTGCTCTGAGCTCCCAGGAGCTCCACAACATCCTGCCCTTAGCATCCAGCCAGATCAGGTGAGGTGCTGGGCTCCTCCGGGTCTTCTGGCCTCTCTCTCCCTTGGGCAGCAGGTCTGGAATTGCTGCTTCTCTGGTTGGTTTTTTTTTTTCCTCTTCCATCTCTACAGATTTGGGCTTCTGCCTCTGAGCATGTCGAGCTCCAGAAAGAGCAAGTCTGCTGCCAGGGGTGCAGAAAGAGTTCAGGTTGGTAAAAAACAACCTGTGGGCACTGGGCTCGTTCTCCCACCCCCCTTAGAGCTTTGTGGGGAAAGAAGAAAGTAGCCAAAAGAGTTAATATTTAACCTGGGTTTTATTTTTGGTAAAATGAAAGCACAGCAGGAGATGGATGGTTTGGATTTTCCCCTTCACCCTCCAAAAATAAACCCACCCACGATGGCCCCCCTGTGGTTTTGGGCCCTCTGTGTTGAAACACAGGCAATAACCACCATGAAAACACAGTGAAGTTCACAGAGGAGGCATTTTGAGGTCAAAATGAGACAATTCCTTTAAAGGGGGTTGCAAGGAACACTGAAGGACACCAGCTAATTCTGTGAACTCCTTTCCAGTGGGATGCTGACCTCTGACTCCCGCCGGAGCCTGGTTTGGGTATTTAAAGCTGTGTGAGCAGAGTGTCTTGCTTCTCTTGCAAAGGCTCTGTGCTGTCCTCTTGAGTTTTATCAGCAGCCAGCCAGCGTGTTGCTGCCTTTCCCCCCAGTTGAAAAGTGTCTGCTTAGATGGAGTTGTCTGTGCTGAGGGCTGGGAGAGCCAAGGGACACCTCGCTGTGACAGGAAGTTGGCATGAGTCACGTTTCCTTTAGCTGTTAGCCACCCAAGAATTCATCTGTGGTGACAAATTTCCAGCTGGGCCAGAAGAGCAAAGCTCTGGTTTGAGCAGAGTTACTCGAGGTGCTGGTGTTGGCTCTGCAGCTCTCGTGCTGTGTTCCTTCAGAAGCACCCAGGGCCAGCTGTAGCACGAGGGTGGTTTGAAAGCCTCATGCTAAAGGTGTTCCTTACCTCTCCCACCTCAGCTCCAGTAGAGTGTAGAAGTGTGTGGTGATGTCTGGCTTGCTCCTCCCACTGCCCTCGCCTGCTGTGGTGGCCACACTCCTCAGAATCCTCAAGAGATGCTTGCTCCTTTTCTGCTAGAACAGTTCTGGAGAGGTTAAAAAGTCTGTGAGTTACTCCAGAACAGCTCTCTGCAAGGACTGCAGCTCTCAGAGCAACAGCCCCTTCCCTGCAGTTCAGAATAAGGGAGGGGGTGGTTGTTTTTGGAGCATTAAATGACATCTGAAGGGTTACCTGTTGCTACCAGCAGCAAGGTTCTGCCCCTCAGAGCATCCTCTGCCTGTCGCTAACCCCCAGGAGTGACACCAGTTGTGGTTTAAGCTCAAGTCCACCTGTTCTGCTGCACTCTACACCTGTAGCTGAGGGTATGGAGTCCATCAGGGCTCTGCTGTCACTTCCTGATGCTTTTTTGTTTTGAACAACAGGTTGCAGCTCCCACACTCACACGAGCAGAGGACGAGGCGTCGCGCCCTGGCTCCCTGTTCAGGCAGCTTGTCACTGAGGAGGAGGACACTGCTGCCCCTTCTCTCTTCAAGCTGGGGTGGCTTTCAGGCATGACCAAGTGATGCAGTGAAAAATAAAGAGCTGCTCTGAGTCCTCATCTTCCCACGAGGTCGCTCTCTCCCCACGGCAGGTCCGTGCTCCTGGGACAGAGGTGGAGCTGCTCCTTCACCTCCTGTTCTTTAGGAACTGCTCACCTTAAAAGTCAAATTCAAAGCAAAAACAAAACAACCTCCACACTGTAACAGAAAAGAGAACATTCCACAGCTAGGAGCAGGCCCTGGAGTGGGATCAAACCCTTCCCCAAGCACCACGACCCTGCTGTGGGTGAGCCCAGCGGGCACCTGATGGTTTCAGCTGCAGCTGCCTGAACTTTCCTGGTTCTTGTTTCACATTTTTTCAGCCAAGATCAAGTGAGATAAAAGCTCAGGGCACAGCAAATGGAGGGGAAAGTTCATTTGCAGCTAGGACAGCCCAATGGGACTCCCAGCACCTTTTCCTGTTGGGCTGTTAACTCTAAATGCTCCCAAAAAATTCTATTGCCAAATACTTTTTTTTTTTACTAGTTTATTGAAATTAAAAAAAAAAAAACTTATAAAACTGAAGAGGAACGTTAAAGAGAACTTTACATAAAGCAACAAATTGCTAACAGATTAGGCAGCTGATTGGAACTGGACGTTTTTGCAACCCTCTAAGACAGATGTGGACTCCTCCAAGTCTCCTCACGACAGGTACTTTAGAACCACCCCAAAAAAAACAAAAAAGAATCCTATAAAAATTGCTTCAAAGCCCCTTTTGCATTGCCATAGTGCAGCAAACCACAAAGTAAACAATTTTTCCTGTTAACCTGTTCTTTCAAATATAGACTTAAAAGGTAACAGGCTTTCTGTGCAATTCAATTTAACAAACTTTTTTTAGGTTGAAATAGGAAAATCTACAGAGCTGTCCCTCACGGAGGGGGGGGGGGGGGGGGGGGAGGGGGATGTGTCTGGTGGTCCATCATGTGGGGAGCCGTCCCCGGCTCTGTAGGCTGTGGAAATGTGCCTCTTTCAGGATCTGGTTGATGTAGAAATAAGGCCCTTGGCTGAGAGCCGACTGCTCGTGGAAGGAGACGGGGCTGGAACCCGGCACGGCGGGGCCGGGGCCGTT